GGGGGGGGGGGGAAGTGCTAGGCATCTGAAATTCTCCAGGTGTGTCTAGCATAAGGGTCTTAAAATACATGTAAAGCAAAATCTTGTGATCACAGTGTTTGCTCAGACAGTTTCTCTAGTTTCCAGCAGGAGGGAGAGCCAGACTGTGTGATCTCCCGCATGAAAACGCGAGCGGCCGGGGAGAGCGCCTCGGGCACGCTGGCTTCAGAAAAGGCTCTGCGGTCAAAACCGACGCCCCCCAGCCCTCCTTTCTCCTCGGCCCGGCCTTCTCAGGGCGGCGGCGCTTCCGCCTGTCGGGGCTTCCATCTGTGCACCGTCACCCCGCGGGGGAGAGCGCAGATGCTAAGGGGGGGCTATCGCGCGAAGCAGACAGCTGCCCCGGAGCTGCGGTCTCAGGGTCCCGGGAGGGCTTCCTGTCCCCGGCTTTCACCCGCAGCGCTCGAAAGTGACCAAATACAAAGAACGAAAGAAAGAAAAAGCTGTGGGTCTGAAGGTAACTAGTTCCCTCTCACGTTGCTTAATGAACATGAGGAAGTTTCCAGAACCAGGTGGCTTTCTCGGAGCTTTTGGCAAGAACTCGGGGCCTCTGATGCCTTCGCTGTTCTGACCCCGGGGCGAGCCTCCCGGAGGCTGGGATCTCCGCCAGCAGAGGGCCTGACCACGCGTGGTGCGGCCACGAGGCCTCACATTTCTAACCGCGCAGGACACACGGGTCCCATTCTGCCCACGTGGAGGCTCAGTGAGGGGGAGATGTTTGAACTGCTTCCAGGAAAAGCCCATTCCCCCCCCCCCGAGTCCCATATTTATTCTTGAAAATTGTTAGCTTGCTTTTATTACATGACTGGTCTATGTTTAACATACAGATGAGAACAGAATTTAAAAACCACGCAGAATCCCACTGCCCTGAGATGAGTACTATTAATACTTTGTATAATGCCAGAAAAAGGCATTTCTTTTCCTTGCTGTGGCCTTCCACAATTTATGAGAAGCACCTAGTAGTTAAACCCCGAGATTGTTGGCCCCTCTGCTTCAAAGAGCCCCTCTGTTCACACCGCAGAGATAAACTACTCTCAAGGCTACATCCCTGCATCTGCCTCCTCCCTGCTGCTTTCACAACTCGGG